TTTACCCCCCCTCGCGAATTTTTGCGATATCTCAAAAACGGCGGCGCGCAGCGCCGCCAAACTTTTAGTACCTTTTCTTACATCAATTTGACACGTTCCCTGAAAATTTGAGCGAAATCCATCGGAAAATTTTTGAGAAATTGACGTTTTAGTGACGTCATGTTCGTCATTTTCGCCTCAAAAACGGCAAAAGTTCAAACGCCGCTAGCATCTTCATTTTTAAAGGAATCAAGACGTAACAAAAAAGGTTATACGTAATTTTACTTTGTCTATCAAATGGCTATCTCGGTTTTTTGAAAATTTTGGATTTTGGCCTAAATTTTTTCAAAAAACTGACTTTTTTGGGAAAATCATTATAAAAGCCAAAATTTTGAGTCTATCGAAAAAACCGGAATATATGTCAGAGAAGTGGTCTATGTGCACCTACATACCAAGTTTTAGAAGAATCGGTTCAAAAATGTGGGAGTTATTCAAAATTTTATGACGTCACGACACACAAAATTTTTGAAAAATGACTTTTTTGGAAGTTCTAGACCTCGTACGAAAACAAAAATAGCACCATTCGATTCGCCGTGAAAAACTGCATCAGATAGACACCTTTTTAGGCCTTAACAACCAACTTCAAAATTTGACCTCACTTGACCTAACCTTGACCTGACCTCGACCTGAAATTCATCCAGAGGTGGTCCATATCACTTATTGAGTGTGCCTATTGAATTCTATGAGTAAAATGACCCATAAAACATGTGTCGCACATGCCCTTTTCTATATTTTGTTTTTTGGTGACCTGACCTGACCTGACCTGACCTTGACCTTGACCTCTGAATGATATTGTATGCAACGAATATTGTCTTGGTAGCCTAAGAACACGTTTTGGGCGATCAGTGTCAGTCCATGACTCCATTCTTCGGCAACTACGGTGCAAGGCCGATACTTTAGAAACTTGCAATTTGTACCCTTGACCTGACCTTGACCTTGACCTCAAACTTAAAATTAAGTACATGTTTTTAGTAGTTCGTGATGAGAGCTTTCGATTGGCGTTTGAATTTTGCAAATCGGACCGTTAGTTCGGGAGATAACAGGGGGGGTAAAATTTACCCCCCCCCAGCCCCGCGCGTTCGGCTGGAGACCCCAGCCCCGCGCGGGATAACTGTATACACCAGTTTTACGAACATTGAATGAAAGGTATCATGTGATAACATATACCTACAAAGTTATTGTGCATCCACTTTTGACACGTTTTTGCTATAATAGGCGGATCCAGGCGTCCAAAAAGGGGGGTTATGTTTTACCTCCCAACACAGGTGCCCTGACACCGCCTATGCATGACCAATACAATTGTAGTCGTTTTCTCACAAGAAAATTGTAACATAACAAGACCATTGCCACCCTTTTTAGAAACAGTACCAACAAAAACCTTATTTACTATAGGGTAGACCGGGGCAAGTCGCCCCGCCGAGGTAAAACGCCTCACCGATGTTTCTCGGAACTGGCAGAGTTCTGGGGAAACATCCTCTCTTCTATAAAACGTGCACTATATGATCATTATATGAGCAGACTGGAAAGAAATTGTGATGACTCTTTCGGGAGATATAGCCAAAAATGTGTTTTTTGAGTGATTTTTATCTTTTGTTGTCAGATTATGCATCATGGCGTTCTTTTATGGTCCACATCAGGTTAACGACTTTTATGTATTTTGAACAACTATTGTTTAACGCTTATCATGCCGGGTTGGTTCGTGTTAGATTATATCTTCCTGGAGTGCAAGGCGTTGTTCTCTGACCGAACTACGTGATGGGGTAAAACGCCCCAGTAGGTCGCGGGGCAAAAAGCCCCATGGGGCGTTTTACCTCATGTGTTGTTCGGGCTACCCACTTTCTAATGTTCGGTAGCTGGCGAACAGTAAGTTTCTATGCCTTTATGTGTATTTTTCTCAGCAACTGGATGGAAAAGGGAGTATTTTGTAAACATTTGCATTGCAATAATTTATTATTTGGTCTTATGAGGCAGGTGAAAAACCTGCTCATACAATAGTGTCATAGCTGAACACCTGACAGGATGGAACGTGCTAACTCTAGTGCCGTGCCCCCAGTGGTCTAACGGACCTCTCACATAAGATTTAGCCAACTACCATGTTAAATCTTTAACCCTCGCCCGCACATGCCATTTTCCCATCCTAGAACGCACATGGGGGGGGTGGTTGCCACCCCCCCCGCGCCATTTCGTTCCTGTTGGAGATAGAGCTTAGCGGTAAAGACCAAAAAGATTCTTTGGGAAGAGACAAATCCAATGATACCCAGTTTTACCTTCTCAGGTCAGTCATTGACCTTCCAGGTCAAGGTCAAACTAAAAATGTTGCTGTTTTGGGTCACCGTTGGATATCAAGTGTGCTGCTTATCAAATATCGATGGCGATGCTGTTTTCTGGTGCCAAGCCAGCTAGAACCTCTTTGTCACACTACCCGACCAGAATTTTGCTGCTGAGGTCATTTCAGGTCAAGTTAGGTCAAGGTCAATTATATGTGTTTGTATGTCTGTGTGTGTCTGTGTGTATACTGATGTGTGCACCGATTGTTTTTGGGTCCATATTATATGAAATAATGATCTGAGAAGCTTTTACCAAAAATGCAGCCAAAAAAACTTCAAAAAAGTAAATTCAGCTTGCCTAAAACGCAATTATCTTAGATGACCTAGGTTGACCTTGACCCTGACCTTGACCCCTGTACATCATCGAACAACATGTTCCATGATAGGTGGGAGGTAAGACTGGCAAAAAAGGCCGAAATCAGGGTGTCAAAAGCTCAAAAGGCCCACGGCTAACGCAATATGTTGAGAATTGGCCATTTGGGTCATGACATGACCTGACAAACAAGGTCATATCTCCGAAACCAAAAATCACAGAAACTTGAAATTTTCAGTGGACATCAAGAAAGGATAGAGGAGCAGCTATACGAAAAATCAGCCTTCTAGCTCTAAAAATGTTGAGTGCAGAGCAGAAAGACTACCTGGGGGGGTGGCAACCACCCCCCCATGTGCGGGCGAGGGTTAATCTAAAGTATGGGGCTACTTGCCCCAGGCCGTGGGGCGTTTTGCCCTGGGGTTGGGGCAAAATGCCTCATTTGCAGTTGCTTCACAAATCACTTCCTAGCTTGGAGTCCGATCATAAGTGAATGAATTTGAGGGGTGCAATTTAAAGTAAAATGTCCAAAGAACGCATTGAGCACAAATTTGGCCTTCCAGGTGATGTGGGACAAAATTTATGTAGCAAAATAAATTATCTGGGGCGTCTTGCCCCAGGCTACCCTACTTTTTGTGTACCTCCAATCTCAATGATCTGTATCCGCCTATGCTTTTTGAAAATGCATATTTTTAGGATCCATGTGAATTCCTGGTTCATTCTCTATCGATCGGCAAAAGTTGCGTTAACCCGCGCACCGACGGGGGTCTGCGCCAACTTAGTACCGACGGGGGGGGGGCGGATGACCGCCCCCCCCCCCCTGAGATCTCGAGAACGAAGCAAGATAGCGACAAGCGGTAAACGGCATCGGATACGCACGGTCAAGATCTACAATTTTTACAAAGGTCATTTTCAGGTCAGGTCAAAGATGACGTCACAGGGGTCGAAAAAGTCAAAATGGCGGCGCTAAATATGGAGAGTTTTTCTCGAATAACTTTCGAATTAGTCAAGATAGGAACAAACTAAGGGCATCATCGTGATCCTCTCGTCAATCCGCATCGAATGATATATATGTTGACCTCGAAAGGTCAAGGTCAAAGGTTGACCTCAGGTCACGTGACCTCGAGGTCATCATGTATATCATTCGATGCGTCTTGACGAGCTGAACACAATGAGACCATCCACGCGTCTGTATCTGGTTCCTGTACGGAGTTATTGGCCAAAAACCTTTGGTGACCTTTGATGACGTCACATGACCTCACAGCTGCCCAACAGCAAAACAGACCTCAAGGTAGTGAAGGTTGATCGTATATGAAGTCATGTATGGTATATGGGGCCATTCCGACCCGTTTTAGTGGTAAAAACAGGGAGTTGATTTTTCCCCCATTGACTTATAATGGGGAGGTCGCGAAATTGACCTGACCTTAGGTCACCGATATCAAAATTCCGAGATATACAAATTGTAGCTACTAATGACCTTATAACATCCTGCGACTTTCAAAGGCCTCCAACATCTACTGTAGCTCTGGCACGGTGGCAAAGTTGCAAAAAAGTGACTTGAGGTTGGGTCATTCAAAGTGACCTGGTGACCTGACCTTGAAAGGTAGGAGGTTCAAACTTGCACACCATGTGTAAAATTGATAAGGGAATAGTCATACCAAATTTCGCGGCGCTACGCGCCGCGGTTTTCCCGCTATTCGCGAAAAACCTCAGGGGGGCGGATATCCGCCCCCCCCCCCGTCGGTGCGCGGGTTAAGATTGGTTCAGAAACCTGGCCGTGATTAACAGTCTAAAATGTATCTGCAATTTGCCCGTTTTTACCCCCCTCTACCCCCCTATTGACATTTTTTAATTTTTATTTTTTAGAAATGTAGATCACGTTGAGCGAAATCGAATGCCGTTTGAATTTTGAAAATCGGCCCGTTAGATCTCGAGATATCAAGGGGGGGTCGTAAACAGCCCCCCCCCCCTCCGCCACTAATAGGGGTAGCCAGGAGCCTGCCACGAATAGGGTTAAATAGACCCACTGTACAGCCCACCGCTAAAGTAATGTAGGGTTTTACCAATCTCAACGGTTGGCTTTGACTGACGATTGTTTAATGCGGAATGATCGAAAAGAAGATGTCAATAGCTAAAGTTGCAGCTGCAAGGGTGACGATACATGTAAGCTACATTCAAAGTTTCATTGTAGTCTGGTTAATCGTTCCTAAGCTTCAGAAGCAGAACATACCCATGACTGAAACCCCACATTACTTCTGCTGTGGACTGTACATACCAAGGCTAGAACTGAATGCAAAGCAGTGAATATAAATAATAAAACTCACCGATTTTTTGCTGGTGCAGCCATTCAAGTGCCTTTGACGAATCTCTAAGAATGCTGATTTCATCGAGATTATCAAGCTCGTCCATATCAGGTTTGGTATGGACGCCCTGCTTCCTTTCCACGTAGTCTTCCACCGTACCGAGTGCTAACTCCATCGCAATATAGTAGAAGTTGTCAGTCCTTTGCGTCATGTAGTACCTTAAAAATGAGTGAAAAGGGGCTTTTAGATTAAACCTGGTTCTGCTCACGGGGTGTTTGAATACCCCCTAACGCTTTCCGCCAAACCTAAAAGAAACGGCGACACGTACACTACAGATGCACTACACTGTACACACTGTACAAATATGTACACTTTTAGATGCATAAAAAGTCACGTGGCTGATGCATTGGTCACAGAGGGTCATAGAGGGTCACATCGATCCCACATGCATTGGTCACAGATTACCTGATGACCCTCGCGTCATCCTCTTCGACTTTCAACAGGTTGCCTACTTCATTTTCTATCAGCAGTCGCTCTTCATCAGTGCGGTAATGGATGCGCTTTATCGCCACTTCTTGCCGCATGTCGCATTGTCCTCTGTACAGGGAAGATATGTCATACTGGTGTCATACATGTCAAGCAAGATCTAAAGTAAAAAAATCAGCACCGGACCTAGCAAAGACGGAAATGAAGCCAGTGTAGGCATTTATTGCACCCATGTGTAGTATTCATCACAAATGCTGGTCCTCGTGGGTACCTACTCTAGCGTGATCTTCAAAAGCGTCATCAGCATCGCCAGCTCTTAACCGGAAAACTCTATCATATTCATATAGCCTTAATATAAGCCGAATTCCAAAACATTGCAGGCTAAGATTAAAAAACGGGCATTGTATAAACGCCACTGCACAGCAGACACCAAAGCCCGGAGCCGTAACAAGCTATATGACACGCTTCTACTTACCGAAAAACAGTAGATAAGGCACCCTTCCCCAAGAAGCCGCTTTTAGCGAACGTGATGCTCCCAACGGTAGTGATGTCTCCGTCCCTTTTTTCCTGTCGGCAATATTAGTTTAACCCGCGCCGTGCTGGTGGCCATATGTTTTCCGTGTCGTGTTCGGGGGGGGGGGGCGTTTTCACGTCCCCCCTTCAAATTTGGCTCCTGGGCCACGTAGCGACACGCGGTAAGCAGCAATCGAAAGAGCGTCAAAAATAAAGACGGGAATACTTAAGTTGTTTTTAGGTCCGGTCACCAGAGGTCACCAATGGTCAAATTTAGTCCACTTCAATTTTGCCACTGCTAAAGGCTAACTTGGGAATCAATAGACCTAAAGCGCCGCAAAAAAGCGCATTCGATAGCCCTTTTACAGACCTTTCTGAGCAATGTTCTCAGATTTGGACTCAGGTCAACGGTTCAGCCTCCAGAGGGCAAAAACTCAAAAAACAGCCGGTTTCACGAACAGTGATTTTCGGTAATAACTTTTGACTCAAGCAAGTCACCTTTTTAGCCAGCATCGTGCTCCTCTCGTCAAGATGCGTCGAATGAACTATTTGTTGACCTTGAAAGGTCATTTGGAAAATTTGATCTTAGGGTTAAGGTCATGACCTGACCGGAAAGGGCCATGTTGCATATCAGTCGATCCGTATCGTCGAGCTGAAGACATCTGACGTGTTTTCACCACTCTAGCGCGTCTCTATCAAAAGTTATAGCCAAAAAACTGCTAGTGACCGTTCATGACCTGATATGACCTCAGGGGCACATAAAGGGGTCACAGGAGCATTTTATCGATTCATTGTGTCATGTTTACCCATGCACCGATGTTTGAGAGGGTTTTGAACGATATTCGTCCAAGAGAGGGCATTTCAATTACTCCCATTGACTTAGGTATAAAAGAGAAGTCGCAAAATTGACCTGAACTTAGGTCACAGATATAAAAATCTGAGAAATACATTTTATACTTATTGCCATTCTTATCAATCGCTGAAAGTTTGAAAGTGATCGTTCAGTCGGTGTAGCTCTAGCGAGCCTTTGAACTTTTTTCTGAGGTAAGGTCACTTGACGTGACCTGGTGACCTGACCTTGAACGACCTGGGTCTGAAATTTTTACAACATGTGTGGAAAAAATGCATGAACAGTGAGATGCATGCATGCATGAACATGAACAGGCACGCCGTTTTTGAGATATTCGCAAAAAAACCTGAGGTGGGGGGGGGGCGTAAAAACGCCCCCCCCCCCAGCACGGCGCGGGTAAAGTTAACCGTCATGTGCCATGTCTCCCTCCAATTGAAGTACGTCGGATACCTTAAAAATAACATTTCATTTCGTGTTTCAATAAGTGTGTATTTTAGTTCAAAAGCATTATACAATAGCATGGTAAGTGAAAATAAGCTACGCTATTTTCGAGTACATAACCATTGCACAAAAAAAAAACACCAGCATATGATTATTTACTTACATTGGTGATGGGCAGGGAGCATTTTCCTGAAGAAGGTTGATCAGGCATCGCCATGTCCCGATCCAACCGGAAACTTGGGTATCATCCGACAAAGGCAGTTATCTTAACCTCCCTCGAAACGATGACGCAAGGACCGTTAGAGATTGGCGTGGAGTCCTTTGAGACCAACGCAGGGCCCTTACATGTTTTGAATTCAGCGTTGGGGGCCCGGAGTGGCACAAAACAAGAGTCAATAAGCGTAAGCTCACTGTTGAATAATGTGACATCCGCAACTGTCATAGAGATAATCCCACATAGGTATGCTTAAAAAGCGTAATGAAAAAATGCCGAAGACATTTGTCAATGATTTGCTTCCATAAATAGATGATTTTAATGTGAATCTTGATTATAATGTGTGTTACTGCCTTGTCAGAAATCCATCTCGTTTTATGTAATGGTGCCTAAATTCACAAATTATACTAAGGCTACACGTTAATTTCACAATGATATGACTAATAATAAATACGTGTATGATGCCATTCAATTCAATTCAATTGTATATCCAATTCAAATAACTAATTATGGCTAATAATACCAGTAAATTAATGACAAATTAATTCATCCATAAAAATTATCTTATCACTTACCGAGTCTCAGACGCGGAGCGAAAAGTTGAGAAATTTTTCCGCAAACCTGCAAGAAAGCTTCCCTCTATGGACACGGGCTCAGCGTCTGTCGAAATATGCCCCACCCGAGAGGCCCTTACCGTCCACCGATGCACTGCTCTGTAGTATCATAGTCCGTATTTGATAGTCGCTATCAGCTCTGGTCAATCTATATCAGTGCCGTGCAACAGTGTATTGGGCATGGGCAGACGGTGGTGGTATGAACATGATAAGCTGTGAAGTGGTCTAGAGAGTGAGCAGTGGTGGCGGATTCCATTTTGGCGTGGGGGGAGGGCAACAGCTCAGACGAGATGATGTCATAGCCGGATCCAGAAAGGCGGTTTCGACGATGCGGCAACATACCCATAGAAAATTGTCTCCAAAATCCGAAATATCCTCGGATTTTGATTGTTTTCATACCTACTGCTGAGCAGTTAAAAGCAAAAAAAGAACTTATAAAAGTCTTATTACCTGTAAGAAAACATGTTTTTGACGATTTTGGGCGTTGTGAGGGGGCGAGTATTTGCCTTAAATGTCCGCTCCCTGGATCCGGCAGTGGACGATGTAACTATATTCGTTTTGCTGTCATAGAAAACGTTCCGATGGGAAAAAATTGTGCCAGATGCCGATCGGATATCAGATGTTGAAGAGCGGTGCTAAACTTTGGGAAACAGGTGAGCGCTATTCTTCAATAAGGTAATTCGGTACCATTGCCTCTGTTCATTTTACATTTGATTTCCGTTCAACATTCCCTTGAGAAGTAGTTCTGAGACAGATATCAACTGAAGCTAGCCCACAACGGGAGAAGACCGCTTTCCAAACATTCAGAGACAGACGGTCGCAAATGCAAGTGCAAATTCGCGTCATAGACTTTACATGTATAGATGGACAAGCGAAATCGGACGGCAGACAACGGTGGCATGCATATGATAAGCTGTGGAGTGGTCTAGAGAACTGATAGCAGAGAACTGATCATTTGGCAAAGATCAGAGACCATGGATCAGCGCTGTGGAGTCGGAGTCGGAGTCGGAGTCGGAGTCGGTTACAGTCGGAGTCGGAGTCGGAGTCGGTTCGAGTCGGAGTCGACACTTCCGGCCGAAAACGGAGTGGGAGTCGACGCTGCATTCAACCCTTCCCAGCTAATTCTCAGTACAAAAACGGCAAAATATAGATGCTTATTGCTTGATAATACAATTAGATGAAATAAAAGGTTATTAAAGGTAGTGTGCCACCTTTGAAAGATTTCCCATTTTATTTTTCCTAGGATAAGAAGCTTCTGTTTTTACCTAATATCGCAAAAAAATCAAAAATTGGCCTGGAATAGTGCCTTTTTCGCCTAAAAGTTTATCGGTTTTTAGATATGTATAACAACTGTAGTGGGCTCACCTGCAAACAGGCGTCGGGCAACAATCGCGAATGCGGCGCACTTGTGACAATAAGCAAAGGTCATTAGTGTTACGACCATACGACGTACGGGAATGAGTTATCAGCTGTCTAATCGTAGACAACACAATGTCGAGCCTTAAACTGTAAGCCCGTATTGGTATTGTTTCTTTTATTTGGCTGTCGAACATTATTTATGGTTTGAAATATGATTTTATGTAAAATAATTGATATGAAAAAGCCGTCTTATAAGTTATGACCCCATTTCACCACACGCAAGTGGCAGAAATGACAATGATCAGCTGACGCATTTTTCTTGGCCGAAGTCAGAGGCAGCACCACAAAGTATGAGCAGAAGCCGCGCCCAAAGCCAAGGCCCCGGTAACGTGAGGTAGCCGAGTCGGGGCAGCGTGCGCTGACCCAAGCCGGGGCCGCAGCTTTGGGCGCGGTCTACCGCATCCCCGCGGGCAGCCCCGGGCTACCACATGACACCGGGAGGACGCGCGGCTCCGGCTTGGGTCAGCGCACGCTGCCCTGACTCGGCTACCTCACGTTACCGGGGCCCTGGCTTTGGGCGTGGTCTACCGCACCACCTAACAGGCGTGTTCGAAACCGCAGGAGCTGATGATGAACGGGTTTATCGAAACTTGATTGGATGAGCATATCGGTAATAGCGATTTCAGTGTATGCATTTATTGTTCATAGTGGTGTGAAATGTGGTTGGGGTACGACCGATAACCCGTCGGGGCGAATTTCGCACTGGGGTACTCAAAATTTGAAGAATTTAAGACGTTTCCATGAGTTTTGAAGGTATGGATAAGTTCTAAAAATCCGGTTCTCCTTATCTGGGCCATTAACTCCATACGGTCCAGGAAAGCTGGCACACTACCTTTAAATGCATTGCGTTATTTTTACTAATAAACACAAATAAAAATACTTTATTTTTGGAACTCTTGACAATCATCAAGGGCCTCGACCTCCAGACACTAATGGACGGTAACCCACCCGCTATGTTGTAGGAATACGTGTTCCCTCCTCCCATGATACTCCCGGAACACGTGTTCCCTCCTCCCATGATACTCACGGAATACGTGTTCCCTCCTCCCATGATACTCCCGGAATACGTGTTCCCTCCTCCCATGATACTCCCGGAATACGTGTTCCCTCCTCCCATGATACTCCCGGAATACGTGTTCCCTCCTCCCATGATACTCCCGGAATACGTGTTCCCTCCTCCCATGATACTCCCGGAATACGTGTTCCCTCCTCCCATGATACTCCCGGAATATGTGTTCCCTCCTCCCATGATACTCCCAGAATACGTGTTCTCTCCTCCCATGATACTCCCGGAATACGTGTTCTCTCCTCCCATGATACTCCCGCTCGGTTCCGCCCGTTCGGTTCCCGCATGCGTCCAGCGCTGGACATCATCCCACCAGCGCGCATGCGCAGGGAGTGGGGAAGGGGGGAACGAGGGGTAGCCTCGGGCGAGCTCCCACCGCACACAGCCGCTATTTGAGTTCGGAAGTGGCCAAAATGCGATAACTAGTTAACCAGTTGACATTTTGCCATGAAATTTTTATTATATGTGAAGTAAACCTTAAAGTCACGTATGCGAGCGTATGAGCATCCTGCTGATCCAGCATTGCCGTAAAAATATATTTGCTTGTAATCCGCGGATGACGGGTATATCCCATAACGTGGGTGACTCGGGAGGGGATTCTGCATAGCTTCCCTGCCGTCTTCGAAACTACTCGTTCATAAAAATTAACCCGCGAGTTGCTGGGGGGGGCGTTAAACGCCCCCACTTTTTTCGCCGGGCCATAGCATAAAAACGGCGCGCCGCAGGCGCGCCAAATTTTGGGTACCTGTAGGGAATTGATTGAAGTTTATTGTGACAAACTTTCAAAAAAATCGGTCGGAAATTTTTTGAGATATTGAAGTTTTAGTGACGTCATGATTTCTGAGTTTTCGACCAAAAACGGCATATGTTAAAAAAATTATATAAAATCACAGAATAGACATACAGACATGCCGTAAACGCCATTAGACTGCCAATACCATTATTAATCGAATGGCTATATTTGATTATTGATTATCACTCTGCATTTTCCATAATCTTGAACTGAATCTTGGCAATTTTTTGTGACTTCTTCACGACCATGATACATGTATTTCTTAAATTGAACTTTTTGAGCCAAACACGTGCACATATGATAAAATGAATGTCACTATCGTGTTCTACGCCCCAAATTACCTATAAAACATGTGTCACAGGCTGCGAATATCAGTTTTGATTTTCGGGGATATGTGCCTACCCGGTTGACCTGACCTTGACCCTGACCTATGCTTGACTGACCCCTACATGGAGCTGACACTCTTGTAGGCCTTATATGATGGATTGTGCACCGTTTTGACAGAGTTTATGACGAGAGGCGCCCATTGCGAACTCCTGAAGTCCATGCTACCGAAAGCCCGATTTCAGGTGTTTGACCTGACCTTGACCCGACCTGTGACCTCACAATTCAACTTTAAAGTACTCATCTGAAGCGTCTCGTCGCGCTCTTTCGTTTGCCGCCTCGTGCGTTTCGCTGCGCCTATTGGTTCTCGAGTTATCGGCTGGGGGCGTTTAACGCCCCCCCCCCCAGCAAACGGTGGGTGGCGAAATACCCCAGCAACTGCCGGGTTAAAACGGCTTCTGATAGGAATAGCTGACAAACGAAACCTAACTTTGTCACAAAAGGTCATGGGTCACAAAAGGTAATGGAAAAGGTCATGGGTCACAAAAGGTAATGGAAAAGGTCATGGAAGGAAATGCATACATTTTTAAGGTCATGCGACACATCTTTAATGGTCCATTTCGGCAAAAGCATCTAAAAATGATGTCATCTGGGTCGTCCGATTCGAAACTATTTCCATTCGACAAATGAAGGTCAGGTCACGGCGAGGTCAAAAAGGTCAAATTTTGAAGTTGAGCATTCTCAACAAAAAAAGACGTGCATCGGATGCAATTTGAGCTCTGGAACACGATGATGCTATTCGTTTTGGTTTTCGATATCAAGAACGTACTGAAAGTGCCTTTGCAATACCGAAAATTATGATTAACCGACTACGGTAAAATGCAAAAGCCGATAACATTGCCATTTCTGAAGATATCTGACTGAAACTTTCCAAAAGCAATGCAAATGATATATACAAAAGCCAATAAGGTTCATTCTGGTCGATGGCTGCTCCCCAAAACTCTGAATGTTATCAACCATATCGGACATCCTTACGATGTTCTGTTGGCTGGATGTCTTTTTGCTTTATTGAATTTGATCAGACTACATTCAGTTAAGACGACGAACATTTATTGGTCACCAGAAAGTATACCCACAAGTCAATCGACAATCGACAACCAACAAATGCAATCGACACGAGCGTCGAGCACCCCTCAGCACAAGCAACTGCCGGGGCGATTACATAGACGGACCGCGCTCCTCTCTCGCAGCTGATTGGTCAGCTGCCGAACCGCACGGACGTCAGCTGCACGGCCGCCGCCCGGCCGACCTGATCGGGGTCGGCCGGGCGGCGACCTAGCGTCACTAGAACTGCAATAACTTTTGCCGGCAGTGTGATGCCGACCTAATTTTTTCAGCAAATGAATCACAATTGTACGGTATATGATATGGACGTTGTCTCGATGTGAAGCAC